TTGAGGGGCTTGGCTTGGGGAGGAATATGTGTCTGGATTGCAGTTTTCATACCGGTCACATACATACATACATACACACATACATACATACATACATACATACATACATACATATATATATATAAACATATACATACAATATTTGTACACTCAATGGTCACAAACGGGCATACGGACGCAACGCGTGCAGATGCTTTTTGACCAAGACGCTTGCATAAATTCCGACCTGTTGCCTAGTGATCCAGCCCTTGCATGCGACATTTGTTGTGTTCACAGAAAGTAAATGGCTGGTTGTCGATGCTTCTTTCAAAGAGAAATCCTTACAGTAGATGCCGAAATCGCGACTATACCGGCAAACGCAGCACATCCCTGACAAAGACCACGCAGTCCTGCGTGCAGTAAAGGCAATTCGCTTCAGCGATGGAGCCTGGGTGTTCCCGAACGGTAGCATGTGGAATGTATGCACTCGTACACCTGATCTACGACTGACGCAATAAGCTTTTCCATCTCTGTCAGGGGGCAGACTAGAATCTGCTCTTTCATGTCAGCATCCACTTCGGCGTCGTCGAGCGTGGCCCTGTCATGACTGTCCTCATGCCAGAATGATACTGCATTCTAGTACATTATAGTATATTATCGCAGACTAGAGTGTTAGAAGCTTTGAGGCAGCACCGAAACAGAAAATCCAGAAGGCAATATCCACAAAATAAGTGAGTAGCCGTAGCTCCGGCTCAAACCCTTGCAGCCTGCCGTCCTTGGTACCCAGCTGTAACACCGAGGCATAGTAGAAGTCGGCTTGGGCATCTGCACCTCATGACAAAACTGGCTTCTTTGTCATCTCTTGTGTAAGCTTCGCGTTTAGGGTTTTCGTGTAGGTTTAGGGTCAGAAAGGCCTCGTGTGGCAGTCCACAGCAACCAAATAACGAAGTGTCTTGCAGGACACGTTATAATGCAGTAAAAGCTCGATCACACGTTTTACTTCTACAAGTAGAATCGGCCCCACAACATGTGCTGAGTGCGTGTTTTGCACTCCTGCCATGGTGAAGCCATGCTGCGGGCACTGACTCGCCGATCTCGGTGTCCCTTTCCTCCACAAGCACGGCTGCCATCTCGATTAAACCGCATTGAGACTTAGACGGAGTATCGGCAGCATTCAAACCAAACTCCTAGGGCGGAGGTGCAGCTTGGCGATTCTTGCACATCTAACTTTTAACAGGGAGCCCGCGTTGCCAAGTTTCGTATGGCTTTCTCCGCAATGAGGCAGAAGTACTCTTTCGCTCCTCATCTGCAGCTACAGGCAACAATGTCTCTCAACTAGTTCTCCATAAATACATGAACCCACTCATAGCTATGAGCGATGGCCGATTCGGGGCGAGGAAGACTGCCTTGTTGGGCTGACAGGAACCCTGACGACAGCTGCTTTTCTTGGGCTTCGTCGAACCCCCGGAAAACCCAGGCGTTCAGCTGAGGGCTTGGCTTAGGAGGCACCTGCAATTCGAATGCTTCATGAATTCCGTGCTCAGCCTCTTCCTAAACGCTGGAACCAAAAACAAAAGGTCTACATTCTTCTGCATCTCCGAGGCACCATTGACAGGGGCAGAGGAAAAGGCGGTGTCGAAAAACAGGGCGTCACCTAGTGAGATGTCCTCAAGAGGGCCGAATGAGTTTATGCCACTCTACGCGTAGTCAGCGTGAGAACAGGTATGCCCACGCAGCTTTTCTGCCAGCTGTTTTCAAACGTTTTTCCCCAACAGCGTGAGCTCGGGAGTCTTTAGCCGAAATAAGGTTTGGGGTAGATTGGGGCAAGGCCTGCGGCAGGTTCCTTGGCGGGTTCCGGAGAGGTTCTTGAACCGGTTCGGGGGGGGGGGGGTCCCGGCTTGGGTGGTTCCGAGGCAGGTTCCGGGCAGGGGTAAGGTTCCGGGACCGGTTCGGGGCGGGCTCCGGGCAGGTTCCGGCGAAGTTCCGGGCAAAAGCGGCCAGGTTCTGCGGGGCATGGACAACCCATCTAAGCTCTGTCAGCTTTTTCCTGGTGCCCTATACAGACAGCGAATCCCAGAAAGTTGGAACATAGGTTTAGGAGGATTCGTGCTAGAAGCGGGCTGGGATCGCTTATACTTTTAACCTTAAGGGCATGAGGATATTAATCATCAAACACCAGTATAGCAGGTTCCTTCCTGCCTTACTCTCCAGAATCCGAAAGCCTCTGTAGTACAGGCCATCATGCTGCTCGAACCGGCTTCTTGGTACTAGAAACCGTCTTGTGGGACAGCCCTGCATCTGGGCCTTAGCAGCGACGTAGCCCATGCCCGTATTCGTGGGTCGCAACTCCAACCGGCCTTCCACGACCTGCAGGGCAGTCAGGAGGGAGTAACGTAGGGGCCTTCATCATTAGAACAGGTCTTAGTTTTTTTGCTATAACTACAATAAGGAACCCCCGAAATAGTGTTGGTAATTATTAAGGCCCTCATACTAAGCTTGGGCAGCTATAAGCGACTGCAAGGCTTCACCGTTGCAAAGGATTGACAAACCAGGACCGGAGGGTGAGATCCAAGTCCGATGAAGGAGCCAAAGCCTAGCAGACTAAATTCGATGAAATTTGATGAAGAGTCGACACCGCTTGTCACGAACTGCTATGACGACTTGTAGCATGCAAACCACGTGGGATCACTGCCCACAAACCGTCGCTAGCTTAGCTGGGAACTCCCCTTGCCCCATCCCTACAACTTCCTAATGCAGACCTCCGAGTGGATGCCGTCTTTTAAGCGATCCTCGTGCTCCTCCTTCAACTTCTTGCTCGGCTTCCTTCAGGCTCTGGTCACTCGGTCCGTGTTGCTTCACGCATGAAGGTTGGTGTTGACACGTGTGGGTGGGTATTGAGATGCTGCTATCTCTGGACTTCGACATCAGGGAACTTTGAAGCTTCCTTTCTAGGGAAACATCCAGACGGAACCTTCGGGCTCGGCCACTGGAGGCACACACAATTCATCATGTCTGGTTTCCGAATTCTCGAAAAGCCGAGCAGCTAAGGCCTAACTAGCAACACCACACGGCTGAGTCTTGTCCAAGTGTGCCAGGCAGGCAGGCTTTCCAAAACTTTCAAGCAAGCGAGCGACCGAACGCGCACTTCCGTGCCGACAAACCAAGACGATGGGCAAGGAGCAGCCGCTTGTGCTTGCAAAACGCAAGTTGCATCAATGCTTTATTTTGTGGATCAACAACCAACTGCAAGGACAACAGCGATGAAAGCTGTTCAACATCGCCATGACCGTACGAGTGATTGAACCGGCTTGGAGTACATGACCATCGCAATCACAACAGTCAAATTGCATGTGTCAAACCGCTGCAGTTGAGTGGCTCCAGCTTCGCCAACTCTTCGCCCGCTGTGAAGAGACAGCCGGCACGAAGCAGGTCAGCAATGCCTGGGTGATTGAGGACGACAGACAAGTAGTGCAGCATCAGGTGCTGACGGCGGTGGCGGCGGCAGTGGTGGGGATTCTGCGGGCGGGTGGTAGCAGCAATCCTCGTCGTCGTTCCCTGCTTCGTGCGTGCAGCAGCCAGGCATCTGAGATGCAGCTAAAAAGTAAGAGCGGGCCAGGAAGGTTTCGGCCCAGGAGAACAATCAAACGGTTCAAACGACTGCCTTGCTCATGATGCTGGCCATGTTCAAGTTAGCCTCGATCGGGATCGGCAGTCTGATGGCACAGAAGAGGCCCGAAGTTTTCATCAAGATTTCGCACGTGCTGGTTGGAGGGTTGAGTGAAAGAGTTCATGCTGAGATGTCTTGCAATCCAGAAGAATCCCTGGGAACCGACCCTAAGCCCTGCACACCCGTACCTCCATAACGACTCTATAAAGCCTCGAACCGAAATCCTCGATCTGTTCTTCCGAGGTACGGCTCTCTGGAGACTCCACTTTCTTGCACACGAGCTTGTGGGTCTCAGAGATTTGTTGGAATCCCTGGGCACCCCCAAAACCTAGCAACCTGTGCGACCTATCCCCGAGCCGTTTTGTTCCGGCCCAGTCTTGCAAGTCGCGTATCACAATCAGCCCTGAAAGCCGCATGCTTGGTACCTGGTACCTAAGCTCCCTTGCTTTGACTGACCGGCATTCTCAGCAGTCTTCCCTGCTGGTGGTGTGTTGAGGCTTAGGACTCAGGACAGTGCGCACAAATCAGGGTGATAATGACAACTATCATGGCCAGGTTAAGATTAAGCCTGCTAGAAACTGGGGCCATCAGCAAGCATTCGGTCTCACTGGTACTGCGAAGTCTTTGCTTCAGGTCTGAGTCTATCTCAAGCTGAGCCCTGCACCTTCCAATCCTTCCGCTGGCACTCTGCCGAACAGTAGGCCACCAATCCACAGCGGCTGCATCTTAGGGGTCAAGAGTGTTTCCCACCAGGAGTACTTGGTAGAGTATGTAGCCTATGGGTAGGACCATCACCATCTATAGCAATTAACGTGTTAGTCATGCCACAAGTGCTTCCATTGTTGTCTCCTGGCTTTAAACGGTTGAAGTAGTGAGGCAGTATCCTTATCCTGCTCGATGTTCGGACGTGTCGAAGCAGGTTGCGCACGGCTCTCAGTGACCAGGCAGCGACTTTGGCAGAAGTTCCTGCCGTCCGTCTGGGAGCTTCAGTACAAGTGGCATGCGACATCGACAGAATCCCTGAACCTTAAACCCTAAACTCTTAAACCCTAAACCCTAAACCCCTAAACCTTAAACCCTAAACCTAAACCCTAAACCCCTAGCATCTTACGAAGAAGTCCAAGTCGCTGTTTTGTGCCGGGCAGCTCGCAGCCGGAACCCGCGCAAACCGACTCGCGCGGGTTGTCCATGGCTTGCGGCACTTTCTCATGGGTAGTTCTCTACATGAGGGTCTCTTTGAGGGTCCTTTTTATAAGGGTGCCGTACTATATTGGGGCCTAAAAAGGGGACCCTAATTTAGAGAACTACCCTCATGACAGCGGATTTTCGGGCTCCGGGCTGCGGCTTGGGATCTGCTGGGTATAGGTGTTGCTTGATCTGACGGTTCCGAACTCAGTTTTGTGCTGCTGGGGTTGGAGGTTTGAGGACTGCCGGGTACTGAGACTATGATACGGAGACAAAAATATGTGGTAAACCAGATTTGCGCTGTTTGGTGTGCCTGCTCATGGTGCACACCTGCAAAGCCCTAGCTAGCAGTGCTTGTGGACCGGCAGCCATGGTTCCTGTGGTCATTTCTGCACAGCGACTTACGCCAGGCATGGAAACAGCAAGAGGGGGGCGTAGCAGCTTCGCAAGTTAGCCTTCAGTGCTCTGGTAAGACTCAGTGACCGGCACATTGTTGGAAGGTGTAGGCGCGACTGGCTTGGAAGGTGCGGGCGCGACTGGTCCGACTGGCTTCGGCTGGTGGATCTGCTGAAACCTCGGCGAGAGGCCACATGTCCGGCTGGCGACGAGCAGGGTCGGGCTTCGGGTTCGTTATATGATTTCGGCCACTTAGGCTTTCATGACGACTGAAAGGGCATTGTTTATTCTGCTGTTCATAGATCTGCCCATGATCTGCAGAAAAGGTCGTAGCATCACCTGATACTCCAGCCAGACATTGCTAAGGCGTAACAGGCAAAGCCCTCCTCCAGCAACGAAGAAACTGGTGCTTGGTAGAGGAGTGCACGTACTTACAACTCCATGTGCTGCAGGAATAATCGCGGCTGCTGTTCAGTGGACAAAAGCTTTGTGCTCTTCCAGGGGGTTGTGGCACACAGCGCTAGTTACTCCTCCTCCGTCAAGGGTACAGTAGCGGGTAGAAAGAGACGACTGCTGTCTTTGAACCATTCAGCCGAGCATTGCGACTGTAGTGGCAATGGCCCAGCCCTTTGACTTTCCGGCATCATACTTATGGAATTATGGGGGGTCCGCATCACCCTGGGCACACAATAAGGATCGCAGACATCGTTCGAGATCTCGATCTTGCTTCTATCGATCATGTTCCAGCAAGAGCTGGCACACGATGGCCATATGTCCATCACAGCACCAAGTTCGACCTGCAAGGAAACAACTTTTCGCCCAGGCGCATTGTCGTCATGGCCTGCATTTGCGCCTTGGCGAGTCACGACACTTGGACTACAAAACCCCATGGCCATCCACTTCCACGAGAAGAGATCAAAGCGAGCTGCCGTGAGGCTCATCTGTTCATAACCGAGGGGTACGGCTCCTGGCAACGGACCATTGAGGCGCCAAGCAAACACTAGCACAGCCTAGAAGTGCTGCATACATCTTCTCCAGGAAAACACGGAAGAGCCTGGCGCCATGGCATGTGCAGCGAATGCACCTGGCTTCAGGGTGGAGTGTGAGATGGGCTTTGCCTTGTGCATCGTGTCAGGCTTTACTTTACATTCTAATAACACTCGTAAGAAGAAGAATGCTCATGACAATAATAAGAATCATAATAATAATAACAAGAACTTGTCCACAGCAATTTTTTGCCCCACAGGCGACGGAGTTGGCCGAAGCTTACAGGACACGCTGCACAGCAAGGCACTGCTATTGCAAGGTGTCGATGTCGGGCAGAAGCTGTCCCGTGGTCTTCTTTTTAAATGTGCTGGCGCTTCTGCCATTACGGAAAACGAGCTGGAAGGAGCCAGGGGTGGTGAGCTCCAAAACATCCGTGATGCCACTCCAGCTGACGGCCATGTGCTTCTTGGGGCCTGCCGGCATAATCTTCCAGTCACCCCAGCCCCAGCTTGTTCGCAGAAGCCCTTGGCTGCGAAACTCTATCCTGCCAGATTCTGAAACACCATTGTACGAATAGCTCCAGCACCGTTTCCCTGAGGCATGCCAGTCATGGAGCTCTTGGTCACTAGCCATGGGGGGACTTTGCTCATCCACAGGTGGCAGGCCTTGACCATGACCGTTGTGGCGCCCAGCAGATTCTGCGACTTTGCAAAGCTCCATGGGGACTTCCTGGTGGCAGGCATCGAGAACCTCCATCAGTTCCCGGGCCAAGAAAGCATTCCAGTTCTGAGGCTCAAAAAGCGACACAGCACGGCCTGACTGACCATTGCGGCCAGTGCGGCCCACACGATGCACATAGGTCTCAATATCGCCTGGAAAATCATACATAAACACGAGGCTGACGTCAGGAATGTCCACCCCTCTCCCAAGCACATCTGTGGTGATCAGGACCCGAATATATCCAGATCGGAACTGGTTTAGAGTCGTCTCGCGCTGAGATTGCTGACGCAATCCGTGCATCACACCACCTTGCTTTATGCGGTTCTGCGGTCTGCACTAGTTTATGCACAACAACATGAACAAGAAACGTCACGCCAATCTTTCATCGAAGCACACGTCTGGCCGAACTCGCCGCCGATGAGAATTGCCAGTTCTTCTGCTGCAGCACGCGTCTGAACGAACACGAGGACTTTGCCACCTCCCTGACCTGTGGGTCGATGGTGGAAACTACCAAGCGCTGAATCCCAAACCCCCCGATATGTCTACATAAACAACGTTTCCAAGTTTGCCCGGGTGGCGCATCGACTTCTGAAGGTTTGCAGCTCGCAGGTGATGCAACCTTGTCGGGTTAAGGGTTTAAGGACGTTCTAAACTGCCATACACAACACGAACCTGTATGCATCCCGTGGTGGCTTGTCTTGTCTGCTTGTATTTGCTTCAGGGACAATCACATCCGCGTCAGGTCAAGGTCAGCCAACTGCCAAAGCTGTTGTTCGAACAAGACCCTGGGAGAGGAATTTAATGACAAAGACTGCTTGTAATCTCTGTTCCTCAAGTACACGGCCGGCCATAATCGTTCGCGCTGTTGTTGGTTCGACTGAAAATCAGTGACCGCAACACTTTCCACGGCTGCCGAAACAATCCCGCAACCAAGAAGAGAACATTGAGCCTCCATAATATTCAGGGGCCTTATAATGATTAGAATATGGTTTAGCAGTACATGTCACTATACCTAGAATCAGGAACCAAACATGTACTGGCAAGTGTTTCGGCATCTTCTTACATCAGTCTGCAACGACTACCGTAGTGGGCAGGATGTGGGCTTTATATCTATTGAGTCTTGTCAACCCTAACATCAACCATACGTGTCTTAACCTGTTCTAGTCGGGAGCGTCTACGGTTTCAGGCTTTTTGAAACTTTGGTTTGGGGTTTTAGGGTGGTTTGGGGGAGGATTTCGGATTTTTGAGACTTTGGGGCTTATGGAAACGGCATAGCAGCATGTAGTGGAAATGTGCCTTATCCTCTGTGTTTGGGCTAACGGCACCACCGGCCCAAACCCTGATGAAACCCTAAAACTAAAGGTTCTCGCGATCAAGTCGCAGGATGTCGAGTTTGGCGCGTCGATTGCAAACCTGTGCGTTGAGCTGCCCCGCAAACATACCCTCAGAGGGGACCAACCTGTGACGCGACCCCTGAGTCCAATGCCTAACGTGGCACAGACCACCTGAGACCACCACGGACCATCGGGCCACAAGGCTTTCCACAAGTACTGGTAGGATACAGAACATGCACCGTGCCACAGCCGCGCCCCGGATTCCTGCCTCCTTGTGAGAACTGAGCATAACTTGACTAGGCTGCATACCCCTCTTTTGATCTTCTCTCATGACGATCTCAGTGCAAGAAGTGCAAGTCGCCTCGACCATCTGTTGGATTGCTGTGGGAGGCAGAGCGACATTTGTGTCGTCGGCGCCTGAGCTGTGCATCTGGTATAGTTTCGTATCGTCTCGTATGCCATGGGGTATGGCATGGCATTGTATGATATAGTACAGTAGAGAACAGTGTGGAGTATACTTGTATAGTATAGTGCTTAGTATACTATAGTATAGTATAGTATGGTACAGTATAGTATAGTACAGTACAGTATAGTATAACGTAGTGTAGTATAACATGGGAAAAGTATAGTATAGTGTAGTATAGTGTAGCATATTATAGAAAAGTATAGTACGTTGTAGTGTAGAAAAGTATAGCATAGTATAGTACCCTATTGTATAGAATAGTGAAGTACATAGCAAACAATATGCAGTAAAGTGCATGGTAATGTATACGGTAGAGTACATCGTAAAGTATAGAGTATGGTTTACTTCTAGTACAGTATGTTACATAGCGGCATGTAGTATATTTCAGTAAACTATAGTATACAGTAGTATATAGTGTATAGTATATAGCATATAGTATAGTATATGGTGTAGAATATTGGTATACCAGAGTATATACAGCATAGTACAGTATTATAGTGTAGTATATTGTATGTAGTGTAGTCTAGTCCAGTCGAGTCTAGCCTATCCTGGTATTATAAAAAACAACACGTCACAGACACGGAGGTGATGCACCTGATCGACAACAGGCCTATGAACCGAGCAACAGCAGCTAATGAAGTCGGCAAAAGCTGGCGTGTGAACTCCTAGCTCTATGTTGGGCGTCCGGCCGGGCACCACATCGTCCTGGACGTGTGCCAGCTCCAAGGCCACACGACCTGAGCACAGCAACAGCAACACGAATTCGAAACTTGAAACCGAAATTAACATTGTAGCGGCACGTCGCGGCCTTATCCCGGCACAATCATGAATACCAGCAATGAAAGCCGTGACGACGCCAGGGACCGCAGTGACACCGACTGTAGAACTTCAACCCTCTGCTTCTCCGTAGGTTATAGGGAAAAACATTCGCGCGCATTTCGTGGGCACGTCGTTGATAACCAATTTTCGCAGAATATAGAAAGGCCGCGACTGTAGCAAACATCTTGTTCTACTTGCAAAGGAAGACTATATGAAATCGTTCCGCAGAAGTTGCTTCTGAGCTTATGCAACTACCTTGCACCAGATCCGCAAAAACCTAGACCTCCCAGTAGTGTTAGGGCTGAGCTACTGTAGTGGCTCCCGAAACCCTCTTTTGATTACTGTACCTAAACCCTAGACCCTAAACCCTAAACCCAAGAGGTCCCAGAAGCGCACCGCCGACCCGCGGCACAAGCGCTGCGCAGCACGCTCCACAGAGGGTGGCCAGGTAGCAGAGAAGAAGAGGACCTACTGTAGGGGCCTTAAGAAATAAGTCGGGGAGTAGGTGGCAATAACTTTATGGCATAACCTGGTATCAGTAAAGAGACAGACTGCAGGGGAATACTATCATACTCGTAACAGTACTCATGATTTAAGCCCCCGACATTGGTCAACTGGAAGTTAGGATTCGTGCTAGGCTAGGCCTTCGAGGTTGAAGTTGGGATTTCGATTTTGTTAGGGTTTGGGGTCTAAGACCACAACTACAGGCTGGATACCTGGTTTCATGGTTTCGAGGTCTCACACGTTTTTTTTCTCTCGGGTCTTGAGCTTGGGCCGGCTCCAGCAGTCACTTGGAGTCCTGCCTTGGGGTCGGTAACTCCCCTGAACTCACCCTAAACCCTAAACTCTAAACTCTCTCTGCAAACCCGAATTTGCCGGAAGTGTGTGACTCCTACCCATAGGCCCCTAAGTAGTTCCTTTTTATGCTTTATATTTAGAATCCTATAAGGCAATCCCAAAAAGGAACTACTTAGGGGCCTATGGGTAGACCCTGTGCCCATGCAAGTGCTTGACACAACAACTCTCAGCAAAGGATGCTTCTGACATCCCAGACATCAACGTCTGCACGTCTGTATGCCGAACGCTGCGACCGAAATCCAGCATCTGAAGCCTAATCATAAACTTCTTGCCTCAGGCCCATCCCAAGATCCGAATGGCCTGCTTGTCGCTCTTCGCCTCTGCGTGGTTTCTGGCTGGGGGCCCATGAAGTAATTTCTGGGTTCACCGGGTCGAAGCTTTCAGCTTACAGTCGGGGACGTGAGACAATGAAAGCCTCTGTCTCTGTCCTCTGTCCGTCACGAAAGCGTCGGATGTCAGACGAGCGCTGCAAAAGCCCTAAACCCGAAACCCTGCACTCTCCCCCAGCAAGCGAGGGGCCTTCTCACCAATCATGGCCACCTCGTCCTCGAAACCCTCATCCAGCATGCGATCCCCCTCATCCAGAACCAAGAAGGAGCACCTGCGGATGACTGTCTTCTCGGACATTTCGGATGTGTGCATATTCTGTTTATTAGACCAGAGCTTTAAACCCAACCTGCGCAAATTGATGCCCTGGACATCGTTCATGAAATCCAGCAGCCGCCCTACCGTAGCAACCAGCAGCTGCACGTTGCCTTTTCGCCTAAGGCTTGCCAGCTGGTCCATCTTTCGCGTACCTCCGTAGATCACAGCGACAGACACCTCCTCCTTGCGTGCACCACCTTGCTTCGTCAGTTTCTCTGCGACAGATCCAATCTGGATCGCCAGCTCCCTTGTGGGGGCCAGGACGAGAGCAATGGGCCCGTTGCCGCAGCGGCTGTCGCTGCGGGATCTTCGCTGCACCTCTGTCACATGTGTGAGGCCGGGCACTAGGAAGGCAAGGGTCTTGCCAGAGCCCGTTGGAGCGGTGGCGATGATGTCATGCCCGGCTAAGGCAAGTGGCATCACCTCCTGCTGGATTGGCTTCATCTTGTTGAAGCCTTCCTGCTTCAGGGCCGAAGACAGCCAAGGTGGAAGGTACTTGCCGTAGTCTGAGAACAACTTCCCTTCACCCTGGGAGGTCGAGACTGCTCTCAGGTTCCGCACTGCATCCTTTTGGAATGCTGTCCGCCAGCTTGAAGCCAAGCCCAAGTAAGCCAGAAAACGTCGCGACACTAGGGACAGGTCTCGCATCAGCTCACTTCGGGCGCGAATCGCTGCCCAAACGAGGAGCAGGAGCGCCAAGATCCTTGGTATGAGTGTGGTGCTGATAAGGATGGCTGTGGCGAGTATGACAGGGCTGGCGGTGGCTGCGATGACTGTATGAGCTCCATGCTTCAATTCAAGGACTACCCTAGTCCTACCGGCACCAACTGGACCTATGAGTGCTGTTCTCATCCAAGTCAGCTACTACGACTTCTACAGGATTAGTGTTACCTTAGTGTTGGTGGTGTTGTCCTTGCTGTTGTTGTTGTTGTTGTTGCTGGTGCTGCTGCTGCCTCTGCCACTGCCTCTGCCATCACCACCGCCACTACTAATGCTGCAGCCGATTTGTTGGTTGTTGCAATTGGTGGCGGTTGCATGCTTGTTGTTATGCTGCTATGGCTTCTCACTTACAGTGTAAAATGTGGTTGCTGTTGGCAGCCAATGCCACCAACAGGTGCAAGTAGATTGTAGCATAATTAGGCTGATACATGCATACATATGCACATGTACATGTACATGTACATACAAGTGTACATACATACTTACTTACGTACACACACACACCCATTCATGCATACATATGTACATACATACATACATAGATACATGCACATACTTGTAGACGTGTAACTACCAATACGTACATATGTTTATATGTACAAACAAACATACCAACAGACAGACAAACAGACGGACAGACAAACAGACAGACCTACGTACATGCATACGTGTGTGTATAGATATAGACATGTACATATATACTCATGCTCATACGTGTGTATGTATGTATGTATGTATATATATATATATCGAGAGAGAGAGAGAGAGAGAGAGAGAGAGAGAGAGAATGTAAGCGAGAGAAGTATGTATGCATGTTTATACAGTCTGTACATGTATCCACAGCTGCTATTGTCGCTCTAGTTGCGTGCCTTGTTCATTCACTGCAGTTTACATGAATTCTGACATCTTTGTAGGTGCGAGAATGTACGCATGACTAGGTCGCAGCATACGTACATAAACATACAGACGCTCACATTTGCACACATGCCCATTTGCATTCTCACGTACATGAGAAAACACTAGAAACGATTAGGTTAGATTACGTAGGTCAGATTACATTGCATACCTGCTACATATATAATTCGTACATGCCTGCAGGCAGGCATGAATCCATAAAAGCAGCCAAGCAGACATGCATACTTACCTACCTACCTACCTACCTACATACATACATAAAGTTACAAAAGGGCTACCGTGGGGCCTGCATTTTGTGAAAATGCAGTATAACGGTAGCGAAGGCGTTCATTTTTTTTATCACGGTTCGATGGTTTGTGATAGTTCCACCATCTGTTCTGCTTAAAGATTTGTTGTGATGCAACCTCACATGTTACATGTTGTTGCACGTTGTTGCTCTTGCTTGTAGACGCATGCTCTGGTTGCATAGTTCTGTCGCTTTGAAACACTGCTGTTGTTTATAAACAGCACTGGTGGATAAAAGCAAGGCTGAGCTGGTGTTTATCAACAACGGTACTGGGATTGCTTGGGTTGGAGGGGGGTCTGGGGTTGTTGGGCTCATGTTTGGCATCCCCCTACCTAGCGCCTCCCGTGGCCTGACAGCAGATATGCCATCGACGACTGCATCAGCTGACTCTGCGTTTTCCTTTTGTGTTTTGTGTAGCATCCCCACCCCCAACCCCTCAATCCCAATCACGGCTCACCACACACCAAAAAACAAGCGCACGCTGGCACCATTTCCACAAACCACTAACTTGACCACTTTGTTTACCGTCCTGGAAAGAACGTGTCGAGTTGCTGTATTTTTTGCATACCACACGACCTCGTGCGTTGATGTTGTGAAAATCGCAAAATCGCTCGTACTTACGGTGAGTTCTGCATCTGAAGCGTAAGATTTTATGACTTGTAGACAAACTGTATCTTAACACCCTTTCCTGTTTAGGAACATATGGTATGATTTGTTCAGGGGCACATGAGCTGCTTTGAAAGACTGTGGGTAGTGTTAGAATCTGCTAGAAGCTGCGCCAACCAAGCCAGCTACTTTGCCTTGCACGGCAACTGGACGAGTCCCTCGCTTGGAACGACGGGTCAGGCTGGGGGGTGAGTTGAGGAGCAGTATCCTCCCACGGCATGTACGTGGCCTGCTCCCGTCGGTAAAGTCACCCTATCTTGGTGGCATCCCGTGGGAGCGGCTTGACGACCAAGGCGCCACAAAGCATTGTGAACAGCTGTCAATCGCGATTACGAAGCCAAGAGAGACGGATTTGTTATCGCTAGGCAGTCAGGAAGTCCTTTGGTGGAGGCTGTGGCATGTGTCACAAGTGCTGACAGAAGAACATGTGCAAATCTGTACACTGCCGGGAGCCAGATGGCCACTCGGAGCCCGCATTCCGCCAGGAGTACGTTTTAACCAAGTAGTTGGCTCCGAAGCCTGGCGTGGTGGCAGATGTAGGCGTGACTCGCCTTGGTGAGCTCGTTGCCCAGTGGCTCCAAGGACTCCAAGGCAATCCAGGTAAACTGGAGCTAGCTACTGACTTGAAGGACTTTGTGGGTGTGTTGAAAGCTGCGCCAACCAACCCAGCTACTTTGCCTTGCGCAGCAACTGGACGTGGCCTGCTCCCGCCGGTACAGTCACCCTATCTTGGTGGCATCCCTTGGGAGCGGCTTGACGACCAAGGCGACACAAAGCATGAACAGCTGTCAATTGCGAACATGAATCCAGGAGGGACGGGCTTGTTAGCGCTTTAGGCGCTCAGGAAGTCCCTTTGGTGGAAGCTGTGGCATGTGTCGCAAGTGCTGACAGAAGAACTTGTGCAAATCTGTGTACTGCCGGGAGCCAGATGGCCACTCGGAGCCCGCATTCCGCCAGGTCCAGGCTGTGAGAAGACCGTCGGGGTGTACATCAGAATCAATGATAGTCGTAGGATGGAAGGCATACGGCCTGGACCCGAACGATTCCTGGGAGCCTTCTTCTATCATTAAACAAAGAAAGTTTCACCTTAGACTAGCAGCATCCGATATTGCTAATGCAAACATGTACATGGCAGCTGTTTACTGAGAAATTGCGTTCTTTACTTGGAGGTTAGGTTATGTGACATTTATGTACTGTACGTAACAATGTAGCAATGTATCTATGTATGTATGTATGTATGCATGCATGCATGCATGGATGTATGTATGTATGTATGTATCTATGTATGTATGTATGTATGTATGCATGTATGTATGTATGTATGTATGTACACACACAGAGACACCGTATGTGTATGTGTACACACACACACCCACACTTCCATGTACAGTAGTGCCATTGTCAATGTCACGCTGTGAAACCCTTCCGCGTAATACTGCATACCAACAGAAACTAAATTGAAATGCAAACACACTACTCACTGATTTGTGTACATACAGACAACCTACACCCCTGACACACATGTTCCCACTTTGCAGGAATTGAAGTCCTGCGATTGTCTGTATGCTTGTGTAATGTTGTGAAGCCCCGCATAGGTAGGTAATACTGCAATGCTAGGAAATCAAAATAAAGTGGAAACTCACAGACACGCGCCAACTCAAAACATAAGAAAATCAGAACACGGCAGGCGGAACTTCGCCAAAGATTTCGGGGAGTCCAAGTTGTAGAATAAGCCTGAACGAAGCATGAAACACTTTGTGTTTTTCATTTCGCTCGGAAGTGGCCGGGTGTGTGTCCTGTGTACAGTGTACCACAATTAGTAAGTATGCGTAATTATGCGCACCATGACCATGCAAACACATAGGCCGCATATGTACGGGCATGTGCGTGCATGTGTGCATGTATGTCTACATGTGGAATGTATGCATATGCGTGTCTATTCACGTGTATGTACTTATCACATTAATATGCACACTCATGGCCCGAAGAACCTCTTTTTAAAAAAAATATATATATATGTGTGTGTGTGATATGTGTGTATATATATATACATGCACATACCTAGGTGCGTAGCATAGAGGAAAAACCAAACAAACGTACAGTGCAAAACCCAGGCCCCATGACAGCCCGTAGAAAGGGCGACCCTGCACCGCTTCTTGACACAATTTAGGCCCGGACTGCGTCATGGACAAGCTCCTGCACGTCTGCGTCAACCATCTTCCAGATGCTCTCAGCTTCTGCATGGCCATGGCTCCATTAGGGACCATGCTTGGGCGACTGAGGCCTAGGCACCCCCTTTGAGCCGACCTTTCATCACCAATAATGACCTGCTGCTGACAACGCGGTCAGCTGGTGACATCGAGTAAGTAATTACTGGCAACAAAGGTGACAGTAGTCTGGACCGGAGAAGCTTTTCCGTACTTCGGCATTCTTGTCCAATCCTTCCAACGAAGTGCCTTGCAGGTAAGATGACCAAGGATACGCAACTGCCAATGATTCATCCGAAGTTTTCCCGAACTCTGCCGTGCGCCGAATTTTTCGAAGCTTAAAAGCAGGCTCGGGCTGACCAGAAGCCGGTTTCGATGGTGTGGCAGAAGTGGGGGACACCCTTGGCAGAGCAGGTCGGGAGTTCTCGGGTGTAGGACTTCGGGCTTTTCGGTTTAGGGTTTAGGGTTTAGGGTTTAAGGTTCAGCAGCTCCGGATCGAGCAGTTTTAAAGTACAGGTCCATTTAAGGTTTTAGCATAACACCCACCCACCCCTGAATCCCACAACATTGGAAAATAAAACATTTCCGTTTTTATATCACCGGCCCTATTCCATGGACTGGATGACGAACCAGAGCAGCGGGAACTATTCGACGAACCAGGCGGAACTATTCGACGAGCAAGAGGGAACTATTCGACGAATCAGTGGGGAGTATCCAACGCGATCCCGACGGCCTTCGTCGAATAGTTCCCCCTGGTTCGTCGAATAGTTCCCGAAATCGGGGAACTATTCGACGAATCTGGTGGCAAGTTTTTTTCGGAACTATTCGACGAAGGCCATTAGGATCGGGCATTC